GCAAGCAACGGAGTTTATCGGTAGATTTTGTCACATATTTCACGGTTATTCGAAGAAAAACTTACATATTCCACATATCAACATTGCCCAAATCCATTTAGGATAAAAACGACGGCGAAAAAGGGTTGATCTCTCTCAAAAATCGTTTTCTTGTACCTCGAAACAACTTTTCGCCATACATTTCCTTCTAGCGACTAGCAATGTTTGCCCCCTGACGATCCCAGAGTTCTTCGCGCAAACACGGGTATCTGATTACTGGCAACTCATTCATTTGTTGAGCATTTGTTGAGCGAAACCTGCGCGATGTATCAAAAAGTTACCTACCTCACCTTTATCTTTAACTATGTATTCCCTTAATTTATGCCTCAGACCCCAAAAAGTCTAAAAGGAAGACCTTTTAACATTTCTTCTTGACTGTAGTGGGTTGTTTTGTTTGGGCGCTTTTGGTTTTCCCCTGGCTCCTCGGACCAGCGCTTCTTTGGTCAGCGGCTTTCTCCAGTAAGTACTTCATGTATTCCTTATTATAGTCTATTTTACCCTTTGTCCTTGCCTGTCGCCTCTATCGCCTCTGGACTCCCTCTGGACAAGAATGACGTGGATCGAGTTAGGGCCCACACATGAAATCGAGGAGTTTAGGATAGAAGGAGAAAATCATTGGACGAACGAACTGTGGGAAACATTGTTCCAAGTAGGTTTTGGCTGAAATGTTAGAACGATCCTGTCAAAGGGTTACGTACTAAAGCTCAACTTGTAACGAGGTAAATTTTAAACTTAAGGTAAGCTTATATCGTTCGGCCATGTGCATGTAAAAACGTTATAATGTCATATCATTGTATAAAATGAAGTTAAGTTTACGCCTAAAATATGTTTGGAGAAATAAAAAATGCTTTTGTTTTGCTTTTCGAAGAATACGCCAGTCAGTCTTGTCTATCGGGATCGGAATTTGCTGTACACAAAGCGAAAAGTTGTGCTGTTGTTGATTCAAGAGCCTGATTACATGGCGAATTTCAGCCCGGAGCTAAAATTTCAGCCCAGCTAGGAGGGCTGAAATTTTGTGGCGATTACATCAGGAACTTCGTAGCGGCAGCCGTCATGTTTCCTAGAAAATAAAATCACTGGGCATGTCTATGCTCACTTTTCAGCCCGGGCTGAAATTCCATTTTGATTACATGGGAATTTTTTCGGATTTTTTGGCCCGTTTGCCAGAGCTGAAAATCCTAGCCCAGTTAAGGCCTAGGATTTTCAGCCCAGGCTGGAATGTGGCTCAGGCTGAATCCTTCTCCATATACAATTTGATTTTTAGGCCCTCTTTGCACGACCCCAGGTTGCTTTTTACCCCGCGTTGAATCACCGTGGCGGGTAACCCTGTTGCTGTCAAATGTCTATAAGCGTTAACATGAAAACAGTAGTCAAGTCGGGTCAGCCCTCCTTGCCAGGTAACCCTTGTTGAGACTCGCGTTGACCCAGTGAGAAGGGTTGAAATGTCTTCAATTCTTACATGTTAACAGTGGGCCAAAAGCTAACCCGGGTTGGTGCTTTCAGTCAAATAACCTGTTGTTTCGTTTTGCTTGGTTTGTATACGGGACCTCCCACCATTCCGTTATACTTTCTGGGTTTTTTTTGTCATCTTTCTAGCCCATGTTTTCAGTTTTTGGTTGGTAGAAAGGCTGGCCTGGGTCAGGCTCAAAGCAAACCACACACTATTGCAGGCTGACAACCCATGTTGGTGTAGAGTGTTTACTTTTAGCACTCTCTGCGGTGATTCAACCCGGGGTAAAAAGCAACCCAGGGTGGTGTAAAGAGGGCCTAAGAGGATTTGTTTCAGAAGCCGGGCTGAAATTCACAATGTACTTAGGCCCTAAACAGAGGGTAAATTTCCCAAAAGTGGTTGGGGCTATCATTTGGAGAAAATGCCACTCTTTACAAAGGCAGAAATGAACAATATCAAGAATAGCGCAAAGCAGCGGGGAAGCAGTAATCACAATTTCATCCCAACCAGTTGGAGGAAGGAAAAAACATTCCTTGAGGAATTTTACGTTATGAATTCTATGAATTGAATGTTATGAATTCTATGTTCTTAAGTACCTTCATAACATAGAATCCACTATTGATGAGAAGCAATTTTATTTTCACTGTAAGTGCTATCACTCCTTCAGAAAAAAAATTATGAACCAAATAATCTTAAGCTAGCAATGTGTATTGTGTCTGGAGATGTTGTGGAACCCACTTGTTCATATTGTAACCACTTGTTTGCTCCTTGTTTAAAAGCAGATGTACACAAGATTTGGTCAATGATGCCGACCAAAATCCTGAAGAGGCATGCACTAGTAGGCTTCAAACCTGGCACAGAAAGGGCAGGGGTGATACTATTCTACCTCAACCTGTCAAGGACAATTATTAAATCCATGACAGGTTGAGGTATAATAGTATCACCTCTGCCCTTTCCATGCCAGGTTTGACGCCAAACAATTGTTAAAAAACAAAACTGAGTGACAATGAAAAGGGGAGAGAGTGAATAGCAGTAACTTGTCTTCTTTATGAGGCAACAAACAAATAATGTGACCATTCAAGAAGCAGAAGACAGAACTTTTAAGGACACTTTGAGGAAAATCAACCCTAAAATGGGGCAGGTCAATGTCTCTAGGAGGCATGGTGAGTTAGTGGACATAAAGTATGGGATAAGTCTTGTGGGTTCTTTTTCAAGTTATCAGCTGTCACACACACAATCAAATTTTGATGTTGCCTCAGTGATGAGAAAATATCAGGAAACTGCATTTGGATGAAGATGACATTAATGAATTAGAACACGCCACTAGAGATCAGGCTAAAAGTGAAAAGTGGAAGTCTTGATACAGATTTACAGTTTCCTTATTTAGTTTATTGCACACAGACGAAGAAATCATGAGACCTTTGCTAACACTAGTACTTTAATGCATCTAAAGTCTCTTGAGAAGCCACTAGCACATCACCCAAGGTAAAAATGATCCGGGATGGAAATAAAAAGGATGCCTGCTTACTTTTTGTTTCTTGTTGTTCAAAAGACCATAGTTTTCGTGATAATAGTTGTAGGTTAGGTCTAGACCAGTTTGCTTGCGTTTGGTTCCACTCAGGTTTGCTTGCAGTTAGCTTTCATTTTGTGGTTTGGGCAACACTATAATAGATATATTATTTATACTTGTGGTATATATAGTTTAAGGTAATTTCCCTGAAATAAAATTGCACATAGATTTTTGTTCAAACTTTGTCCAATGAATATTTATCATATCAGAACTTAAATTATGAAATAAAAAAGGGGGGTGCCCATGCTTGTTGAGGAGCAGTGAAAATGTCCCATTTTAGCATTAATGCTTATTACAAGAATGCATTCCTAGTTATTGTAAACTCTTTGTGAGCCCAGACTCGTGAAAAAACGCCTCAAACTACAGTCAATACTTGTGTCAGACACAAATAAACTTTTTAAGTTTGATTTTGACAGACAGCTGAATCCTTGTTAAAATATTGGAGCCAAATTGCTTGCCACAGCTATCAAACTGCAAACTAGAAGACTACAGTGCAGCTGCTCGTTTTTCTTATTTATTCAATTTTCAAACATAGAAATCAGATCAGTCATTTCTCACGCAAAGCTAATGATTAGTTGATTAAAATGACTCGCAAAAAATTTGGGGTGCCCAAGCTCGTTAGTGAGTTATAGCCATTTTTCAACTGACAGAACTCAATATCAAGGCAAATCCACCATGTTTTCAATGTGCGGATGCACGAACGTGCACTAATGACACCATAAATTATGCGCAGTAAGGATGCACAATGCAATACTGGGGAATGACCCTAAACATTTGCAGTTTTGGCACTCAGCACCCAGATAGTGTAGTGGTGTGTGAGCTCACCAGCTGGTCTGACTACCCGGGTGCGACTCACACTATGCACATACATTATTATGGTTCTTTTTCTTTGAGTAAATTAAGTTTCATAAGAAAAAAAAATTGGTTTTATTAAAAAAAAAAAAAGTCTTACGTGATGCACTGATGCACTGTCCCTAGTTGCTTGTTGCAACTTTCAGTAATGGGCCATTAATTTATCGAGGGAGTGTATGATGCGGGAATGGGCAATTTCCAGAAATAAATTCCAGCACAGCAAAAAAGGCTGAGAAAAAAATTTTGTGCAAGGGGAGCCATGAGGAAAATAAATATAGAGTAAGTGCCTTCTACTATCAAGGTCCTGTGTTTGACTTTTTAAAAAAATTTTGCACAAGCTATTGCCCACCAAAACATATCATGCACAACCAACAAGTAAAGGTGGAAAAAAAAATGCATGCCCCAGAAAATTGCCCACCCCCATGTAAATTCTCTTTGCTCACACCATCATTACATCAACTCATGCTAGTTCTGTGATAACAAGTGTAGCAGGCATTTCCAAAAGCATGCCAAAGGGAACGCAACTGCGATCGACTGTGAAATCATAAGGAGCAGGGGAAGAGGGTGGGGAAAAAAATGAACTGTAAATCGGTTACTAACCCTGCCACAAGTCGACCTTTGCTTAATCCATCACTTATTAGTCATCCAACAGGCCAGGGACGAAATGTCAGAAAGAACTTTTAGAAAGCCTAATCGATAACCGGTAACTGAAATTCTGGAATCAGTAACAGGTAACCAGATTCCAATTGGTCTTAGCTTATACTTTTAGCAAAAAAATTTCCCCTTTCTCCAATGTGCCACTCAACATCAAGTAAGTCTCTACGTTTGAATGTAGGCGCTAGCTCATTTGACAACTTTTAGCACTAAATGTGGATCAATAACAGCTACTACTAAACTCTATCAAGAGAGGATGATCAACTCATACAGACCTTCAATTTTCAATCACTCTTTTTACTTTCATTTGAAACTAAAGATTTCAAAATTTGAGAGCTTAATCAGTTATTATACCAAATACCGCACTCACATCACTCCATCTCAACACAATGAACTTGTTAAACTTCTCCTTAACGTACTTTAAATTTCACCACATGGCTTTAAGCTTCCTTGAGCTTCTTGGTAACCATGTGAACACCAGCCCAAGTTTGTACAAACATTTTGAATGCAATCTGAAAATTTGCTCCAGTCTCTAAATTTTTAGCTTTCATGAAGCCAGACAAACACAAAAGGACAAGTCTACAAAAATCTACCCTAGTTCCCAAATGTTGTTGCGGACTCTCACTAAAACGTCGCCTTCTAGCTTGGGTAGAAAGCTTTCCATGACGAAAGCACGGTAAGCATCCAAACTGAAAGCCAAAAATTGCAACCATGGTCAGCTTCTGCTAAGCACAATGTAGCAGCAAAAAATAGAGCAACCACCATGTAGGCCAATAAGCCATTTCCGAGTTGCTTCTTAAATTTTACGTCTTTTTCAAAACGAGTCCTGGTGCTCAACCTTTCACATGGAAATGAGTTTGATTGGCAAGACAATGGGCATGCAAGAAAAACTGATTTTCATTTGAAAGGTTGTGCACATGAACTTGAACATGGCTTATTGTCTAGTAAATGCACAAAGTAATGAAGTCACATGAAACTATAGAATCCAGATTAATGTTTGCCGACTGTTCAATGTCTCATAACGCTTGACTGTGAACGTAAGGCAAAATCAGAAATATGTTGTATACAGCATATTGGATCTAAGATTCAATATTCTGATTTGCGGTTCATTTCTAACATTGCTTGGCCATGTATTCTCTGCAGGACAGTTTTTCGTCTGTCTGCAATCTCCTTATCACAACAATGACAATTACAACTTGTACACAGCTTACAAGTTCGCGCCACTTTGCGGAGAAAAATTACACAGCTGTATGAAAAATAAAAACGCAACTGGACGCTTTTTAGGACAACCACATCCCATCAGTGCTGTTCCTGTTTTCGCTCAGTTGAGTGAGAAGGGAAAAATAATGTGAAAAAATAATCGAAAAGGAAAGGAAGACTAAAGAAAAGAAAAGCCACAAAAAATTTACCACATCAAAATAAAATATCACATTAAGCCTTCAACCACCACTGTATTTAATCAAACAAAGTAGTATTTTCATACTTACATACATAAGGGTGATGAATAATGAAATAAAGTATTTAGAGGTATTTTATGAGAATGAATGATTGAATAATTTGAATAAATATTTGTTGAAATTCTCATAGATTAGAAAGAGAAATCTGGTGCCTATAAATTTAAGACTGGGATATAATAATAACACAATATTATTGAAATAGCCATGATATAAACTGAATTTCTTTCTCAGAAATTACAATGTTGAACAATGAACAATAACAAAGAAAAACTTTCCAAACAAAATGAACGGGATTAATGGCCAACGCCATCAACGAATTTGCCTTAGTGGATAACAGCACAAAATCACCCATTAAACTGAACGAAGTAATTACTTTCTATTGTTTCTTCATCAAAGTAATCACCTATATTTAGCAAAAAGATAGAGTTAAGTATCTTATCATTGTCTCAATGCTGTAATCCTTTGACTTCACGCCAAAGACACCAGTCTGAAATTGTGAGCTCAAGAGACAGAGAGCTTGCTCATTGGTAGTCCGGTCTGTCTTTCCAAGCCAGCTCTTTTTGCTGTTCCTTCGTCACTAGTCATCTTAATATAGGTCAGAGTTTGTATTCTGAGTGGTAATATTAGATGTGACGTGGCGCTAACTGCAAACAGTTTGGAAAGCAGGAGTTAACCCGACAAAAGGCGATCTTTGAGAGGACACGAAAATCAACAAAGATCACACCGGTAGTGGCACCCAGTAGCTTCATCTCAATTTAACACAACAATCCTCCTTAATCAAGATACGGGAATGGCCTTCTTTATGTTCCCAATTTTCCATTTGCATTGCTTTACTCTGGAGACTTGATTGATTCTGAATTTTTCTTTCTGATCTGGAAAATCCGCGACATCAAATAGTTCGACATCAAGTAAAAGCTTGTTTGGAATCGAAGTTCACTCTGAAGCTGGGCTGTACAGTGGGTGTCGACACACTGGGCACGTGCGACTAAAAGCAAAAGAATAGACAGTGAGTCAATTCCGTTTGTTTTGTTTCATATCCATTTTTACTTTTGGGACGTCTTTCAATTACTCAACACACGTGGCCTTACGTGTAGTGCCCAGTGCCTAGTTTCGAGCCCAGACCGGGTTCACCGTGTTGTGTTCTCAAGAAAGACAGATTGCCAAGCAACGCAGGGTAACATGCGATGGACCCATGGACAAGCATTCCATCAAGAAGGGAGTAGCAATACTCCTGGTCGCCTCATCACAAAGAGAACGAGATGACTTTCGATGGGAGCCGACTTCACAATTTAGTCAACTCATTAGTTCAACTCATTCATTGGCGTATTCGCACTTGAATAGCTTTGCAACGAATTTACACTTACTTCCAAACAAACGGGAAAACAGCCACTAGTTTGTGTTAATGATAGAAGAGAAGCTATGCGAAAGATAATTATAACATTCTTTTCAAGGAAGGACAAGGAGATGGGGGATTAACAGAAGCCACCATAGTAATATTACGAGTAATCGACAAAATCTGTATATTCTATTAATAAAATAGAGTCGACTGTTCAATATGCGCCGGAATCATGAATCCACTGGGAAGCCAAGAGCGAATGCGGTTTCAAGTAAAAAATATATTATACGGAAAAGAACTAAGTACTACAGTATGTTCGATGTACTTACATTCCGTTCTGTATCATAGCGATGGCGCATTCCCGATGTACCTTATGTGAACAAGGTAAGATTTGGCAACCACTGAACGCATCCTACACAAAACAACGATAATAAGATAACATAATCAGAGTGGTGAACAAGACACAAGAGGCACGTGAAAGGTACCTCAACAGGAAAGTGTGCGATAAGGTATCTATGACAAGAAAACACGAGATTTGTATGGTGGGCAAACAATATGTGTCCAGCAACTAAGTACAAACTCTCTATGCAAGAAATACACAAGATTCATTTGCCAGAAAAGAACAAGTAAGTGAGACAAAAATGGGTGAGTGTGGCAGAGGGACAATTGAGTCTCGTGCAGTGGGAAAACCCGGATTTTCTATGGCGCGAAAACCTGAATTTTCTACGACAGGAAAACGCGGGCAACATGCAATGAGAAAACACAAACTTTGCAAGCACGAGTTGCACATGCCAGAAAAGTCAGTTTCCTATGGCGGGAAAGTTACGATACAATGACCACTCACCTCTAGGCAGATACAGCATTCATCGTGTCCAGAATCTGCTCTGCACTTATGTTTTCCTTCAAGACGTTTATCAAGACAGACATTACACACCTCACAGTGAAAAGATTTATCCTTGTGGATTCTTAAAGGAATACAAAACATTACATAATTTATCATACTGACACGAAACTCAGATAAATGACAAATGGAATTTAATTCTTGATCAACAACGACTTTTAAAAACATAAACAAGCAAATATTAGAGTTAATAGCCGATGTTTCAGCGTCATCCTGACACCATTCTCAAGGCAAAGTGAATAAATTAATGCGAAGCTGATTTCTATGCTTTTACAGTCTCTACAAATTAGCATAATAACAAAGGCTCACAAGTTCTTCAAGTGAATACCTTTGCACGAATCAAGTC